TTTTGGATTTTTTTTTTTTGATGCCAATCGTTAGAACTGATCCTTACGAGTCAAAAATGGTATGAAATTGCAAAATCGGACATTATTTGACGGAAATATCCAAAATATCATCAAAAAATCATCAAAAAGGTTGAATTTACGAACGAATCGGTTTTTTGTCAACAACATTTTTCAACCCATCGATGATTAATTTTTTTGAATGCCAATTGATGGTAGGGATCCGTACGCATTCGAAAAGGTATAACATATCAAAATCAGACATTATTTACCCGAGATATTAAAAAAAATCATCGAAAAAGCTTTGATTTTCGCACCGACCTCGATTTTGAAAAAAATCGTGATGAAGGTCATATCACCGCGCGGAGTTATGTCGTTTTGAAACGTCATATCTCCAGGAAAAAGTTTCGATTTTCGCACCGACCCCGATTTTGAAAAAAATCGTGATAAATGTCATATCTCCGCGGGGAGTTATGTCGTTTTGAAACGTCATATCTCCAGGAAAAAGTTTCGATTTTCGCACCGACCTCGACTTTGAAAAAAATCGTGATGGAGGTCATATCTACGCGGGGAGTTCTGTCGTTTTGAAACGTCACATCCTCCGCGCGGAGTTATGTCGTTTTGGAACGTCATATCTCCGCGCGGAGTTATGTCGCTGTGGAACGTCATATATCCGCGCGGAGATATGTCGTTTTGGGACGTCATATCTCCGCGCGGAGTTATGTCGTTTTAGAACGTCATATCTCCGCGGGGAGTTCTGTCGTTTTGAAACGTCATATCTCCGCGCGGAGCTATTACCCGAAATATTAAAAAAAATCATCGAAAAAGTTTCGATTTTCGCACCGACCTCGATTTTGAAAAAAAACCTGATGTAACCCCTTGCCATTTTGTCGATTTAGGTCAAAATTTTCGATTTTCTTTTTTTGATGCCAATCGTTAGAACGGTTCCTTATGAAATTGCAAAATCGGACATTATTTGACGGAAATATTCCAAAAAAAATCATCAAAAAGGTTGAATTTACGATCGAATCGGTTTTTTGTCAACAACATTTTTCAACCCATCGATGATTAATTTGTTTGAATGCCAATTGATGGTAGGGATCCGTACGCATTCGAAAAGGTATAACATATCAAAATCAGACATTATTTACCCGAGATATTAAAAAAAATATTTCCGCGGGGAGTCCTGTCGTTTTGAAACGTCATATCTCCTCGAAAAAGTTTCGATTTTCGCACCGACCCCGATTTTGAAAAAAATCATGATAAAGGTCATATCTCCGCGGGGAGTTATGTCGTTCTGAAACGTCATATCTCCAGGAAAAAGTTTCGATTTTCGCACCGACCCCGATTTTGAAAAAAATCGTGATGTAACCCTTGCCATTTTGTCGATTTGGATCAAAATTTTGGATTTTCTTTTTTTGATGCCAATCGTTAGAACTGATCCTTACGAGTCAAAAATGGTATGAAATTGCAAAATCGGACATTATTTGACGGAAATATCCAAAATATCATCAAAAAGGTTGAATTTACGAACGAATCGGTTTTTTGTCAACAACATTTTTCAACCCACTGATGAATAATTTGTTTGAATGCAAATTTATGGTAGGGATTCGTACGCTTTCGAAAAGGTATAACTTTTTAAAATCCGACATTATTCACCCGAGATATTAAAAAAAAAATCATCGAAAAAGTTTCGATTTTCGCACCGACCCCGATTTTGAAAAAAATCGTGATGAAGGTCATATCTCCGCGGGGCGTTCTGTCGTTTTGGAACGTCATATCTCCGCGCGGAGTTATGTCGCTGTGGAACGTCATATATCCGCGCGGAGATATGTCGTTTTGGGACGTCATATCTCCGCGCGGAGTTATGTCGTTTTAGAACGTCATATCTCCGCGGGGAGTTATGTCGTTTTAGAACGTCATATCTCCGCGGTGAGTTATGTCGTTTTAGAACGTCATATCTCCGCGGGGAGTTCTGTCGTTTTGAAACGTCATATCTCCGCGCGGAGCTATTACCCGAAATATTAAAAAAAATCATCGAAAAAGTTTCGATTTTCGCACCGACCTCGATTTTGAAAAAAAACCTGATGTAACCCCTTGTCATTTTGTCGATTTGGGTCAAAATTTTAGATTTTCTTTTTTTGATGCCAATCGTTAGAACTGTTCCTTATGAAATTGCAAAATCGGACATTATTTGACGGAAATATTCCAAAAAAAATCATCAAAAAGGTTGAATTTACGAACGAATCGGTTTTTTGTCAACAACATTTTCAACCCATCGATGATTAATTTGTTTGAATGCCAATGATGGTAGGGATCCGTACGCATTCGAAAAGGTATAACATATCAAAATCAGACATTAGTTACCCGAGATTTAAAAAAAAATAATCGAAAAAGCTTTGATTTTTGCACCGACCTCGATTTTGAAAAAAAATGTGATGTAGGTCATATCTCCGCGGGGAGTTCTGTCGTTTTGAAACGTCATACCTCCGCGCGGAGCTATTACCCGAAATATTAAAAAAAATCATCGAAAAAGTTTCGATTTTCGCACCGACCTCGATTTTGAATTGCGCAGTTGCATATAACTTTGGTTTTTTTTTAACCGATCTTTATGAAATTTTCTACAGTATATCTTATTGTATCATAGAATATTTGTGTATACTGAAAAAGTCAATTGCATTTAAATACTGGCATAAAATGGTTGGCGCACCTACATCTAAAAGTCTATAGCTCTTATATGTTTTGTGATCCTTACGTTCATACACACGGACGGACGAACGGATGGACAGACAGACGGACATGGCTAGATCGACTTAGCTATTGGGCTGATCAAGAATATATATACTTTATGGTGTCGAAGATGCTTCCTTCTGCCTGTCACATACATTTGGATTTTGCACAAATACAATATACCCTTATACCCATTTTTAATGGGTTCAGGGTATAAAAACAATAATTTAATGTCGTATAATTAGATGCAAGTTTTTTCTGTTACATTTCGATAATTAAACATCGATAAGCAACACTTGTAATTAATTTCGATATCAATACATATCGCTTGTCTTGCTGCTTACGATAGCTGCACAGCTGACAGCTGTGAAACGGTCACACTGCGCCAAAAGCTAACGCAAAACTAAAAACATTTACGAGAAATTGCAAATATTTTGTAGCGTGCCCAAGCGATGTCTGCGCTCTTTCGCCTAACCAGCCGTGCCATAGCGCTGCAGCGTTCCGCAGCGCTTAACCAGGTGGCCACGTTGCGATTCTCCCGCAGCATCAAAACATCACCCAAAAAGGATGAAACTGTCGCAGCGCCAGCCAGCGTTACGACCGAAGACTTTGCCAATCCCAGCCCGAAGAACTGGATGAGCTACGGCTTTGACTACAAGTCCGAAACGGAGGATCGCAAAGCAACAAAATCAACATTCTTCGTTGCCGTCACACTCTGCCTCGTATGGGGCACCTTCTACTGGTCGTATCTGCCCGACACACAGCTGCGCAGCTGGGCACAACGCGAGGGCTTCTTGGAGCTGCGTCGCCGCGAGCAGGCGGGCCTAGATCTGGTTAGCCCCAACTATGTGGACCCAGCTAGCATTGTGCTGCCATCGGACGAGGATCTCGGCGATACGGAAATTATAATTTAAACAATTAGTGCTCTAACCCTTAGTTTGTTTTGTAAGCGAATGTTATGTAATGGAAAATGCTGTTGCCCGCAGCTGGAACGCGTCTCCTGTGCGTGAATAAACGAACATATTTCGGCACGAAATCTCATTTTGCCTGCCTGTTTTTAGGCGTGCATTACGCAAAATAAAAAATTATACGCGGCGAGTTCTTCTCTTTTGTCGCACAGTTTGAGGTTAGAGTGAACCAAACGAAATGTAAACAATTGTAAAAAGAAATACTTACGCATAGCATAAGCCAGCTGCAACAGCTGATGCGGATCCGCCGGAGCTGCCGCCCGCTATGCGCCAATTGTCCGCAGCAAAGGACTCGCTCCAAATGTTTTTGGTTGGCCCATAAATGGAGTCAACCGTGCCGGCGCCCATCGCAAATTGATCCAGATTCGTCTTGCCCAGCAAAACGGCGCCGGCTTCACGCAAACGTGCACAGACAGTCGCATCGTAGGGTGGCACAAAATCCTGCAGCATGCTGTAACAAAGCATTTGTTTAATGTGATATGTGAACTGGTCGGAACAATTGTTTAGCTAGCTACCGGGAGGCGCACGTTGTGGGCACTTGGCTGGTGCAGAAGTTATCCTTAATAGCAATGGTGACGCCGTCGAGACTTCCAAGGGATCGCTGGTCCGCGTAGCGTTGCGCCGACTCCTTGGCCTGCTGCAGCGCCAGGTCGGTTGCCATGCACACAAAGGCATTCAATGTCTTCAGGCTGCTGGCATCCTGCAGCGCCTGCTCTGCCACAGACAGCGGCGACAAATGGCCATTGATGTAACCGGCGGTTAGCTGAAAGTTGAATCCATTTCAAAAAGCAGTTCCAAAACTTGATCATTTTACATACCTGTTTAATGCCCAGCTGCAGGTGACGCCTCATGCTCACGTAGTATCTAAAAATCGAAGTTCCTAATCAACTTTTATTTAGAAAAACGGCACATTATAAACAATAATTCAGGCGTCCAATCTAAAAACTGTGTGCATGCACAGGGTGCCTATGGCGACACCCTGTAAGCTAGAGATGCGCGCCATATCGATAGTTCTAATGGCGCGCTACAATATTAAATACAAATTTCAAATTTAACATTTAACTAACAATTAAACGTACATATATTTTTCTTTCATAAAACATTAAGCGTTTTGAAACTAGTTCCATAAAAGACATGCTGCATCATTAAACAAAACATAAAAAGTTGTCAGAATTTGACTATATGCTACGATCCCATTCTACACACATTAGATTAGGCCAGGTTCTTGATCTTATCCTTTGGATTGTGTTCGCCATGTGCTGTGGTTATGTTAAGAGAATTATTTGCGTCTAGCTCCTTTTCCTCTTGCTTGATCTCACGCTTAACGTTTGTGGAAGACGATTCTTCGTCCTCTGTCTCAGATTCGCATTTCTGTGAATGAGAATTGGCTTGGATTAGTATTGTTTTTCGAACGATTTGAAATGTGTTGTTGATAAATGTTAGAAATGTACATGCAGTTAATGATTTCAATTAGTTGAGCAGTGCATCGAACCAGGGCAGCTGTTCAATGCCTTCGAGAATATTCAACATATCACCCTCGGTTTGATTAAATTCAAAATTCTGATCGTTTTGCATGGCATTTGGATTGGAGTTTTCATTCGAAATAGCATCGGTTGAGGTGGCTTCATCTGGATTGGAAATTTGATCTTGATTTTCGAAAATAATGCTACGATCGGTCATAAATGGATCTTCGAGCCCCAGCCCCAGCTCACTACAGTCCATATCAAGTAACATGGCATAATTTTGATCAATTGAATTAGCCAGATCTTCGGCGGTATCATGATCAAAATCGAATATACCACTTGTTAAGTCCAATAGATCATTGTGAGTACCCGCCGAATCGAGAGACTCATCAATTTGTTCACCGTCACCGATAAAAGTATCCACACTGCCACCGCCACCGCCGCCGCCGCCAGTCGCAAATATACTTTCGATCGACGGTATGCTCGGCACTTCATAAAACTATGGAGGGGAAGGGGGGGATGAGAGGTCGGTATTTTATTCAAAATTTTTGATCACAAGCTTTGTTCATTTAACGCTACGAAATACTTACATATGTATGCGTATGTATGTCTAGCTATGACTATACTATATATAGTTGTATATATATATATATATTTGCATAATATATATATACTACAAGCTAATGGAGGTGTGGCTGCTGCGCGGCTAGATCGATATAAATCGATCGCAATCGATCGTGAGGTTAAGTTGTATGAATGTTGTTGTGTTTAAATGTATGTATATATGCAATTAGTATGGGCCCCAATGTTGTAGAAGGCTCTGGTTTTTAGTGCTAGTGCTATGGATAGTGCTATTGGTAGTGGATATTGTGGTAGTAGTATTTAGGCTCAGCCTCTAATTAACGCACCTTTTGTATATACTGGCGCTTGGCCGGCGCCACGCTCAAATGCAGCACACATGTCGAGTCCTCGAGTATGCTGGCGACTGGCTCTTGACACACCACACCGCTGCGCTCGACGCCGCAGGCACGATACAACACCTGACGCTTATCCTCGAGTATGTGCTTGCGACAATGTTTGCAGCAGGGCAACGTGCGTTCGCCACACTTGACGCCGCCCTCGGTAAACACGCACTTCGGCTGACTGGAGGCCTTGGCGGGTATCACAGTGTCGCGTGCCCGTTTCTCTTTCATCTTTTTATAGAGCACCGCCTCCATGCCCTGTCGGCGATGATAGCCATTCAACGCCTTCAATTGTTCATACAGTTTGCGCTCGTGCGGCGTCTCCTTGAGCTGGTCATGAATGCTGCCTGCAATTATTTATATGTATATCAAGATGTATAGCAAGTAAATTTTGTAATTTACAGTATGTTTCGCGCTCGCGACGTATATCCTGCAAATAGCTGCGCCGTCGCTGCTTTAAGACATGCTGCAAATGTGTAATCTGATCGCGGTACAAGCCTTGCAGCTTGATCAGCTTCAGCTCAGACAGACGCACAGCCTCTGCGCGTGTATAGACGCCGGCATGCCTAGAAATTAAATCAGAATTGAGTACCAGCATATGGTAATATGTAGTTTAAATATTGGCTTACTTGAGCGGATCGTCCTCCTCGGAATCGACGCTCTCATAGTCGGATTCAAAGAACTCCAGATCTTTTGCCGTATTCCTTAGGCAAGGCGGATCCTCATCATTACTGGAGCTATCCGAGGCATAATCCAAAATACGACAACGCTTGCGCACACTAGCCACAACTTGTGGTATGGAATTCGTATGATCCTGATTGACTGCATGAACGAAAAGAGGCAGGATGTTTGATTATGATTATAATAAATGGTTACGATCCGGACAACTTCTCTTATAGCTAATGCTACGGATCTACGCCAAATTTTAACAATTAAATATTTATTGGCATAAGAACATGCTGGCAGCGGATATATCATCCTCCATACGTTGTCCCGCACTCACCAAAAGGCGTCACATGCGGCGACACCACATCGATTTCATCATCATCCGGCTCCGGTTTGGGCAGTTCCGGCTTGATGTCCTCGACATTCACGTGATGTGACAGACTATTCAGGAGCGTCTCATTAGTCTCGACGCGACTACGCAGACGACCCACTGATAGATGGGTCTTTTGCAGCTGCGTCTGACGGTTGTGCTCGAAGCAGAGTGTGGTGAGAATCGGCTCCTTTTTGGTATCCAATTTGGGAACGGCATTGGCGCACTTGCGTCCATTGGGGAACACATGGGTGCACTGGCGATAATTGGCGCGCGGATCACGCAGAATGTGTCGAATGCAATACTCGTAGCCGTCGAGGCGCATTAAGCTGCAGGCATAGGTCGGATTGCTGCAGTATTTGATTTTTGCCAGTTCGCTGTGGATTTGTTCGCGTAGCTTTTGCTCCTTTTCCGGTGTGCAGGCAGTGCCCGTAAACCGTGCGCATTGGCGCAATTGGTTTGGCGAAAAACTTGCCATTTTGTGTCTATGCTGTGACAGAATTTTCGGCGATGCGACTGAAAAATGCGTTGCTACTGTTAGAGATGGCCGATTCTTATTGATAAGCAAGACGGTAACCGTAAATGGCTTAATCTGCGTTACATTTTTAGTAACCGTTACACGTGCGTGAAATTAGCGACGGCTTCTTAGCGTCGATTTGTGGAACTTGGAACGGGAGCTGGAATCACTCAGTTTCAACTAAATTTAAATATGTTTCTAAGCACAAACAAAAATTAATTTTGATGCAGAATTAACCAAGGGATTGAAAAAATAAATGTTCACCATTCTTTAATATTTTAATATTTATATTTTACTTATGTAATAATAATGGCCCCAAATAATCACGATTTAAGCCTATAGTTTCACCTAAATTATAAAAATCGTTTTAGTATTTAAGCTTTATTAAAGCTAAGTACATTTGTTGCAATTCATTAATATGCAGTTGTATATAAAATATGCATTAAAAGGTGGGTGATTTTAGCTCGGATTCCAAGTATGAAATATCGACACTTAGCTACCATCTCTAATTTATGAACGCAATTGTAACGGTATGATTGCCGATATGTTTGTGCTATAAAATGTCAACATTAATTAACAATAAACCATTTGAAGCAATCTAATTACATGCAAGAAATAACAGATATACAATAAAAATGCTAAAATATATAAACTATTCGAAATGATTTTATTAAGCTTGTCACTATCGATATAGTCTGTACGAACTATCGATAGCGTCGACGATATTTTCTGCTCATCTCTCTTTCGCGTTTATGTTTGTCAAAACAAAAATTAAAAATCAAAAAATTTTTTAGCTATTGTATAATTAGCGTTTAGTCAATTCAAAATCCATAAAATGCAATGTAAATAAGTTCCCACTGTGTTTCTGTTCGTATATGTCTTCATGTTGTTTCGCGTAACGTAACCAACTGCTGTCTGAACAATCCTACCCCGTTTGAGAGAAAAAAAAATGGACTCATTTAAGCTTTAAGGCTCCGTGCACTTGTGCTGGCCACGAAACGAAAATATTTATTCGGAACGCAGCAAAGCAAACACAATGCTGCAGTATAAAAACGCAAACACAACGCTAGCCAGTGCGGTCAATAACAATAACAATGGGCAAGCGAACACTGCCACGCCCGCCGCCTCCGCTAAGGCAGCAAATAGTGCGGGCGCCGTCACGAATACGTCTACTGCTGCTGCGCCCGCACCACAAATGCAACAGATCATCAACATACATCAGATGCCGCCACAGTTTATGCAGGCAGCGCAACTGCAGCAGGCTGGCGGCGCGACCACCGTGTCCGGCCTGCCGCAGAACATGTTCCAGATCGTGCAGCCGATGGGCATGCAAACGGTCAACATTGACGGGCAGGAGGCCATCTTTATACCCAATCTAAATGCACAGCTGGCCACTGCGCAGGCAGTCAACATAAATGGCCAGCAGGCGTTCATAACGCCCAACGGCCAGATAGTGCGGGCGCCACAGGCACTGCCAACGCACGATCCCACCCAGACGCAGCTGTTCACGATACCCGGCACAAACATACAAATACCCTTGGCGAATATTGTGCAGCAGCAGCCGCAACAACAACAGCAGCAGCAACAACAACAACAACAACAACAGCAGCAGCAGCAGCTGCAGCCTCAACAATCTGCCACGCCAGGACTCGCACTCCAAGCCCAGGCGGCGGCGGCGGCACAGCAGCAACAGCAACAACAACAGCAGCAGCAGAACCAGGCAACTGGTGGCGCAGCAGCGGGTCAAACGATCACCATTCCCGGCACCAACATACAAATACCCGCCTCCGTGGCCGCCGCTAACGGGCTGCTGGGCAACCTAACGAATCTGCTGGGCGGCGCGCCTACCACAATTAAGTTGGAAAACGGCCAGACGCTGCAGAATATACAATTGCGCGCTGCAGCGCCCGGTGCTGCACAGCAGCTGCTGCAATTTCCACAGCCAGCGCCCGCGGCGGCACCGACGCTGCAGCAAACGGTGGCCGTGCAGATACCCGTGCAAACGGCCAACGGCCAGACCATCTACCAGACGGTACATGTGCCCGTTCAGGCGGCCGCGGCGCCAGCGACACCAGCCCAGCCCACATTGTCGAATCTGACGCAATCGATCCAGGCGTTGCCCGCCTCCATGCAGCAGGCGGCTGCCCAAATGCAGATCATACCACAGTTTGCACAAATTGCCCAAATTGTCACGCCCAACGGTCAAATACAACAGGTAATGATGCGCTCCAACTGGGAATTGAGTTGAATTTCCGCTAGAGATTATAGAAGTCCGATGTTGATAGGTTTTAGTGCTTAAGGCATAAATAATTTGGAAGCTCAAAGAAGCCAAGATTTACCTAGATGGGTTCTAGAACCTGTTGCTAAGCTAGTTAACAAGTTAGCTTCTTAATGAAGATATTAAGTGATGCGTATAAAAGATAGTGGGGCCAACTTTAAGGTTTCATTCCAATTTAATTTATTTTTCTTTTCCACTCGCAGCTGTTGTGTTCCTTAAGTCTTTATCCTAGTCATCTAAGTTTGTTTGTCAGAGCGAAATTATCTGCATTTATGAGGAGTTTATCTGCCAGGATATTATTCTACAGCCCCTTCGAAAGCATATCTACTTATGTCTGCACAGATAATTGAAATAATGATTTTTTTTATGTACAGGTTCAGTTGGCGCCGCTAAACGCACTCAACTATTCGCAGTTGCCGCCGAATGCGAATATTATACACATACAGAATCCGCAGCAACATCAGCAGTTCGTGCAGTCGCAGCCACAGCTACAGCAGCAGCAGCAGCAACAGGCGCAACAACAACAACAGCAGCAGCAGCAGCAGCAACAACAGGCGCAACAGCAGCAACTGCAGCAGCAAACGCAACAACAACAGCAGCAGCAACAGCAACAGGCGGCGGCAGCAGCAGCTGCGGCTGTGCAACAACAGCAGCAACAGCTCTTCAATGCCATCAATGAGGCGGGCGGGCAATTGCCGGCCAATCAGCCCATAACCATAACAAATGCGCAGGGACAACAGTTGACGGTGATACCGGCACAGCAGCTACAACAGTTGCAGCAGCTGCGGGCGAATCAAATGCAGCTGCAGTCGGGCAATCTGCAGGCGTTGCCCATACAAAATATACCCGGTCTGGGTCAGGTGCAGATCATACAGGCGAATCAATTGCCCGCGAATATGGCTGCCAACTTTCAGCAGGTGCTCACACAGCTGCCGATGCCGATGCAAACGACAACAACAAGCGCGGTCGGCAATCAGGCGCAGCATGCACCAGCACTGAGCATGCTGCCCAAGCAGGAGCCACAGAGTCCCACGCAGCTGATCACGAGCATTAAACAGGAGCCGCCAGATGCGACCGTCTCGAATACAACGAACACCACAATCCAGCAGCCGCAACAAATCAAGTTCATAATGCCACAGTCGCCACAGCAGCAACAACCACAACAGCAGCAGCAGCAGCAGCAGCTGATTGGAGTGGATGGAGGCAGCAGCAGCAGCAGCTGTCTTCCGGCCGTGACAATCCCAGCCTCTATACAGATAACCGCCTTGCCATCACCGGCGCCGCCCGCAACGGCACGCAGCACGCCCAAGCTGACGATGACCAGCATAGGCAGCAGCAGCAGCAACACCAGCACACAGATCACCATGAGCTCGGCCGGGCAAATGGTGGCGCGTGCCAAGCAGCTGAAGCAAGTGACGCAGCCCGCGACGACGACGGCGACCAGCGTCAATGTGAACATCAATGTGGGCGAGAGCATGGTGCCGGAGATCAAGCCACGGCTGAAGCGCGTCGCCTGCACCTGTCCCAACTGCACCGACGGGGAGAAGCATTCGGATCGCAAGCGTCAGCACATCTGTCACATACCCGGCTGCAGCAAGGTCTACGGCAAGACATCGCATCTGCGCGCCCATTTGCGCTGGCATACGGGCGAGCGTCCGTTTGTCTGTTCCTGGGTGTTTTGCGGCAAGCGTTTCACGCGCTCCGATGAGCTGCAGCGGCACAGGCGCACGCATACGGGCGAGAAGCGTTTCCAGTGTCGCGAGTGCAACAAGAAATTCATGCGCAGCGATCACCTGTCCAAGCACATCAAGACGCACTTTAAGACGCGCTCGAGCGTTGAACTCATCGAGCTGAACATTAAGCAGGAGCCGAAAATGAATGCGCCCAAAAGTATTAGCACCATGAGCGGCATCGTGACCATTGAGCTACCGACCAGCGGCCCGGCGGCCAACGGCAGCGGCGCCTCAAGCGTAGCGGCAACAGTTGCTGGCTCAACTGTGACGGCAGCGCCGGGCGGCGCAACAATAGTGCAGCTGCCCACATTGAGCGGCGATGATGGCGTTGGCGGCGCCTCCACGGACAGCTTTGGCGAGGACGACGATCTGGACGACGAGGAGCTGACCGAAGAGGATGACGAGGAACTCACCGAGGAGGATGAAGAGGACGACGAGGAGGATAGCGGCGATGAGGAAAAAATGACCATCTCTGTCAGCGAACTGGGCGAAAACTCATCCAACTAGCATTCGGAATCGCTGTTCATGGAACAGTTCATCTTCGACCACTTCCCATAGCCCATGCTAAACGAATTGCAGCCTGTACAGTGGATACCTAGCATAGCCTGGCCCAACAGGTGCGACTAACTGTATTTATGTAATGTGTTTATGTAAATCTTTGTATATAGTTCAGTTGAGAAATAAGTTATCCTTCGGCTAGCCGAAGCACACAAATCCTTGCAGAGCTCAAGTAATTTTATATTACAATCAATAACAGCCACTTAATTTTGTATATAAAATTAGGCTGTACCAGTTTTATTTCAACTTTAAGCTTGTAAAATATTTATTCAAAAACTTAAAAAAGAAAAAACAATTCATATCATAAATCTAACAAAACATTTTACAATTTGTTCGTATAAATGTTTTCATATTATATTTATTCGCCCAGCTCGAGCGCAACAATATCCACTGCAAGGGTCAAATAATAATAACTTTAATTTTATAAATGTATATTTTTGTAGCATAAGTTTTTACTACGAAGGATTTAAAAACACACACGCAATTTTAACTAGCATATTAGCATTACAAAAAAAAGAAAAGTATATATAGAACGTTTTAAGAAAATTTTTATACTCAAAACGCACAATAAAGTCGAACTATGTAACATATTTCTGCGAAAGTTTAAGAAAGTGGCTCATGCATCTAAAGAAATGGCTCGGAGCAAGGCGTTTGCGTGGACGTGGCCGGCACTTGTGTATTGAAGAGGGCATAGTCCTCGGTGGTGGAGACAATTGGCTGACTCTGGGTTTGTGGCGTCTGCACATCTAAGTCCAAGGTGCCAATTGTTATGGACTCGGTATTGATTTGAACGGCTGCCTCGGCCCAGTCTGCGTCCGGCCCGTACTCGTGCAAGCTGGAGTTCTCCGTATGCGCCTCAACTTCTAATTTGCCAACCGTATCTTGCGATTCTTCCATGACCCACATTTCGGGATTGTTCGTAAAAATGCCCAGCGTAGATGCGGAATTTTGTGAATCTAAAGAAGCCGGATATTGCAATGCTGATGCTGATGCTGATGACTTTTGCTCGCCGCTGGACGCCGCCTGGTCGGGCATCTGCGCCGGCAGCTGGGATGAACTCTCATTGCTGTCGGGCAGGACTGTGGCTTGTGTGGATTCCCGATGCCAGCGATTTAGTCGACAATTGTTCTCCTTTTTCAGTTGACATTGCCTAATGTGATTGCATTTGGCAATCTCATCTGGCGTGTACGGCAAAACCATTTTCTTGGCCACGGCCTTTACGAGCATCGCATTGATGAAGCGCTCCGAGCGATTCGCGAGGCGTCCCTTTTTCTCCAGGCGCCGCTTAGCTTCCCAAACGCAGTTGAAGAGTGTCATATTGACGCGCACTTTAGTGCGTAGACAAAGCTTTCTCTTTTCGTCCTGGGTGTATTCACGAGTCAAATCCTCGCTGGTTATTTTCTGCAAAGCGTAAAAATACTAAATACTCCGTTTGTGAATGAATCTTTGGTTGTACATACAAGCGGCTCATACAATTTGCGCACTAATTCCTTGTCATCACCATCCAGTTCATCGGCTATGCTTAAGATTTTTGCCTCCTCTGCATGTTGATATTTAATTAATAACTCCGATAAACAGCGCGCCATCATAATTTTATTGTTGTTGAAATTTACGAAATACCGATGCTTTTGTTGTTTACAGTGTGACCGTTCAACTGAAACGCAAACATACTCAAAAGATCCAGAAAATATACCAAAATACCAAATACTGTTAAAAAGTTCGTAAGTTCAGAAAAAACGTAAGGAAATGGAACAACCATAAGAATGATAAATATGATATTTTATTGCCGTTACAGAATGAATAATCCTGCAATCTAAAAATATAATTCTTAAATATTTTTTACATGTTAAATAAATTGATTTAGTTGAATATTATAAGTTACAAACTTTTTTAAACTACGCCAATTAATATTAATTTAGTATTATACATCATATAAATTATATTTAATTCGCGACCTTAAGCAATGGGATATTCTCTTGATTTCGCTGGATGCGAGCCTGATACGCTTCCTTGAGCTGCGTTATTACGTTGGCAAATAGGATGGTTCCAAAGAAGACGAGAGCGGTGCCGATCCAATGGCTGAGCGTGAAGGGATTGCGAAAATAGAGAATGGAGAAGATCAGGGAGACGAATTTGCGCAGCGTAACGACCATCGTGACAATGAGGGAGGCGCATTCCGTGGTCAAGACGTAAACGGCACCAATGCAGATATATTGGGTGATCACATTGCACAGCAGATAGAAGAGCATCAGCGAGAAGGACCAATTGATGCCCAATTTGTGCAGCACGGGCACGGCGACTCTTTCCGAGGCAATGGCAATATTCCAGTGTTGGACAATGTTGCCGGCCATAAGCAGAAAGCCGGGCAGCGGCAGCATGTGCGTGTAGAAGAGCGCCTCGTTCGGGTGTTTGCCGTAACGCTTGTAGATGACCTCCTGATAGATGCCCATATAGGCCGTGACGAGCAGGGCAATCGAGAGCAGGGCAATGCCCACGCTCCACCAGAACAGATCGGAGAACGAGGTCTCCACCTTCAGCAGCGGATGCGTTTTGTCCTTGACATCACCACTGGATACCAGGGTGCAGAGCATAATGCCCGCCGTGATCATCAGCACGGAGCTGTACTGCCGGAGATTGTAGCGCTTCTTGAGCAGGATGATGCCCATGATCATGTTGGCCATCAGCGAGCCGCTGCGAAAGATCATGTGCAGCGGCATGGCTATGTTGAAGTTGAAGGCATAATTGTTGCACACGTTCGCGCCAAAGAACAGCACCACGAGCAGCACGTAATCCTTCAAGGCGATCTTCGGACTGACCGTAAAGAATTTCGACGTAAAGATTAGTCCATTCAGCGCAATAAATAGAAACTGCAGAAATGTGATCAAATTGCCGGCACCGGGATCGATCTGAATGATCAGTTCCAGAAAGACGACATTGCTGCAGCAGCCGACGAACACAAACAACATGGCCAACAGAGCCTTCCAGCTAGTCATGATGTCTATTAATTATATTATATTGGGACGAATTGGAATGCCAACAGTCTTGAATTAGGCGAGAAACTGTGCCAACTGCTGCTGTTGGCAGCGACAATAGCTATGGACAAATAAATGATTACACAGCTGTGGCTGCTTGAACGTAAACAATTGGGAGTTGTCAACAAAAGTCGAAAGCAAATCGACAATGATAACGGGTATGTTAATAATAACGTATTAAAATGTATAAATGTTTAATGTGTCACACGTGTAATTTACAACTATAACTTGTTCATCACCTAGCTTGCCACTAATATATGCCTTTGATATTTTAAAAAATAAAAGAAGTATATCTATATTTTGTGGGCTTAAAATGCAACTTTAGCTGTCATTTTAATTTAAATTAAAACAATGGGACCAGCTTTTAACAAAAGATCTGTTTGGTTTCTAGTGCGACCATATTTACCACGTAGCGATCAAATAAATATGCAAATACTGGAATTACGCGTTTTTCTGCGTCTCCAACGTTGGTCACATCGTACCGAAGAGCGTGTGCAAGAGATATGCGAAAAAAGAAAAGTTTGCAGCAATACGGTCGCAAATAAAACGAAAAGAAGTTACTAGCAACGGAAAAGAATTAAGCAAAAAGAACATCTTTTAAAGTGGCTGGCAAAGCAAATAGTACGAATTTTCATTGTGCTTGTATGTATTGTGCATGTCTGCATCTGACCGTGAAACTGTGTGTATGTGTATGTGTGTGGTGTGTATGTGTTTTTAGTGTTTATACGTGCTTGTTTTGTTTTGGTTAAATGAGTTTGTTGTAAATTACTTGTGTATAAAATAACGATGATAAAAATTATTTGAAATATCTATCAAAATAATTCGTAAAATATTAAATTTAATGTATATTTATATCCAATTTCTCTCAATTTGCAATATACATATATTCTCTGGACAATAAGTGGCAACTCCAAGCCAACATGTATACAAAAACAAGAAGCGACTATGAAAACGAATCGCACAATAAATAAATGGAAGGCAAACGCGCAAAAAAGAAAAAGCGACCCAAAACGAGAAAGAGAATAAGCAATTTCGTCGCTTTAGTACAAAATTTCTAGTTACGCGCATTTCACATCAAGAACATTTGTACAAATACACTAAAAATAAAAAAAAACAACAACAACAACAAAAACGAACAAAAAAAAAATAATAATAACACCGTTTAGTATTCAAAATTGTTTGGTAATTCAATGAGAAAGCGCAAGTGAAGAAGCGGCAAGAAACAAAAACCCAACTAACAGAACTGAGCAAGACAGAACTAAAATAAGCATATTTATCCATACATAGGTAAAGAGTGAGTGCTGGACACATTTTACAACTACCGCGGCTCCTCCAACAAAGCAGCTGCTGGCACAACTTTATCGCAAGCCCAAAATTACAAAAAATATATACATATACATACATACATATAAATATAAAAGTGTGGTAAAACGCGCGATGCTATGCCGCTTCAGCCTTGCTGTATATGTATACACGCCGACTACAACACAGTTGTTTCCCAGCACCCCCACCATATATATGTATATGTACACACATACATACACACGTACCGATGTATTTATGTACATGCATGTGCAAATTTATATGTGTATTTTGCCCGCGCGCTTGCAAAATCCCTAAAAAAAAAAAAATAGAAAAAAAAAACAATTTTCGTTTGCATATATATTTATGTTTATTTTCTTTTATTTTTATACAATTGTGTATGATTTTTGCGAATGTTTGTCTATTGTCTATCTTTTTGTGTTTACTAATACAAATAATAATTCAATCCATTTGTTAATATTTTGCAGAGACGCTTAAATCATCAGGCGGTTATTATGAAAGGTTATAATTTGTTTCAACATCCTCCCTCCCCTTCCCCTACATTCATAAAAAAAGAATGAACACATGGCTTCGGGCACCGAAGATCAAATACCCTTGCAGACATTAAATATTCATTCACTTTCATAAAAAAAACAAAAAACAAACTTTCATGCCAAAAAAACTCATTTTTGGACAGTTTATAATATATGATATAGTGGTCCGATCCAAGAGAATACGATAAATGTACCACCTGCGCAGTTGGTCGGATCTTTGGCAAATTTGATGCAGGGTATATTTTGGAATCGAAGATGCATTACAAACTATAATATCCTCTGCAAGGGTATAAAATAAAACAAAATATATATGTACATATGCCAACATGTATGTACGATATTTTTGTTGCCGTTGCCGTTGCCGTTGCCTAAGCCAGGTTTTGTCTCCTAACATGAGCCCTAACTTGCTAAAAAAAAAAAAAAACAACAACAGCCAACCAACACCCAGGCCCCAATTTCCCGCAGACCGCAAGTATTATAAATAAACTAATGATTATTTTATTATCCAACCAGGAAATTACTATAAAATGTCTCGTAACAAAGACAAATATGACAGCACGAACAGAAGGCAACAGATATTTCTGTCCGCCGAAGATATTGCCGCTGGCAAAAAGACAAATTGGACGGGTCTCGAAATAACGGGTATGCAAAGCTCTAATAAATTTATAAAATTTATTTAACATTAATCCTCTTATGTTTACAGGCTGCGTGCGCAATATCAGCCCCTCGTTGTGGGAGTTCGAACACCTGACCGCACTCTATCTGAACGACAATCAGCTGCTGCGGCTGCCAGCGGATGTGGGCCTCTTGGTTAGCCTGAGAACGTTGGATTTGTCCAGCAACAAGCTGCGCAGTCTGCCCGCCGAGCTGGGCGAGCTCATACAGCTGAGGTGGGCGCCACCCCAAACGTTGTGCTAATCATCACCAGCAATTAATTAGTTTCATCTCTTAACTATTTCCAGAGAGCTGCTGTTGAACAATAACTTTCTGCGTGTGCTGCCGTATGAGATCGGCAAGCTGTTCCATCTGGTCATACTTGGTCTGATGGGCAATCCGCTGCAAAAGGAGTTTATGAACATCTACAATGAGCCGAATGGCACTCCGAAATTGCTTACCCACATGTTGGACAACTTGTCATGTGAGTAGCAAACATATTGTTACTCTATTTCTATGTATTTGCCGCTGCATGTGTGAGTGTGTGTGTGTGTGTGTGTGTGTGTGTGTGTGTGTTTGTTAAGTTGTATTTTTACGCGGGCTCCTGTTTCTGTAAAAAGGAAAGCTAAAAAGGGGCATGAAAAGAGAAAGTTCTCTTGTGCTGTTAACGTCTCTGTTATACCCTTACAGAGAGTATTACACTTGTGTGCCAAAATATGAAACAATTAACGCAGAGCATTTGACTTTCCTCTCTTTGTTGTTCTTATCTAAGTTTATTCAAAACAAGTTGATTGATAGATCGATTGATTGCTTACCTGCTACTATTTATGTATATTTATTATTAAGTTATGAGAATATATTGCCACAATATTAGTTGCTGTAGGGTATTTATGTTTCGGCGCAACGTAAACTTTAGTTTTCTGTTCGATTCGTTTTCAATCTGTAATGCGAGCTTGGGTTGACAGGATGGCAAAAGGTGCAACCGGTTTTCGAACGACCGATTGGCCAATTAAAGTTCAAACTCATGGTTTTTCTTATTAATAATGCCAAACATCAATTATAATTTAATTGAATGTAAGCGCCAAAATGATATGCAACGCAATAAAGAAAAAACAACAACAAAGCCAACACTGCATGACCTCGACATGCAAAGCTGCTGGACGTTGGCCCAAAGCTGCAGCAACAGCAGCAGCTGCTTTGCAGAGAGCGAGCTTAATCAAGAGAGAGAGAGAGAGAGAGCAAGAGTGAGAGCGCGAGAGTGTGAGTGCAAATGCGGGCATAACGGCTTCAAGTGCGTTTACTGTTAGGCCGGCAAAGCTCGTGCGCGAATGAAATTGAATTCGCTGCCATCAGTCTGCCACAAGCTTGGCTCGCGAGCGGACGCTTTAACTCCACAAACGACGCCAGCCAAAACCAGTTTGTCGCCGTCTCGCCTCGCCTCGCCTCGCCTCGCCACGTCTCGTCCCGTTCTTGTCGCTGGCTGCGCCTGCGCCAAGTGTTTCGTAATTTCGACAGCGACAGAGCGAGGCAATATTTGTGCCAGTTTCTTTTGTGCAGTTCGCTTTTCGGTTCGCGTTTTCGCGGACGCTTTTCATTTCGTGCGAATTTGTTGGTTGCCGCGTGTGGAAATGCTTTTCGCAATGGCCGCCTGCATGCATTGAAGTGTTGAAATATTGCCAATTGCAAATTGCGGCCAAGTGATGTGCGATACGCACGGCAGACGAGGACACAAGACGCTGCTGCTACCACGTGAGATACGAACGAGGCAGGATTATGAGATCGCATCTGGCCGTTTATCGTGCACCAGAAAACGCCAACGGTTGCCAGTTCGCTAGATACGCGCCCCATCCACTGCAGCCGCCGGCCATTTGGAATGCTGCCGCGCCGAACGCTTGCTACAATCTGCGCGCCCAGCTGCATCATGGTCTATACCATGCAGGAGCAGGAGGATCAGGAGCAGGACCTCCGCCACAACAGCTGCTGGTCAATCAGCAGCGGATCAACGAATGCGCCGGAATACCGCTCATCTCGAACGCCTGCAGCCACATGACCCCGGCGCAGCGTCATCGGCTGTTGCGCAAATCGGGCAAATCCTGGCCAGCCGCCGCCGCCGCCGGCACCCACTCGATGTCTCAGCTGGCGGCGCATGCGCAGGGCCAGCCGCTGCTTCAAAATGGCAACAAACAACATCATGCCCAGCTGCAGCAGCAGCAGCAACAGTATTCGCCGCAATCCTGGCCAGCGCACGCCTCCAGCTATCAGCCCATGCGCCTGAATAACTTTCAATTGACGGACAAAACGCGTACACTGCGCTATCAGAATTCGGCGCCGGCAGTGCTCAGCGCCCAGGAGCAGCAGAAGACAATCAACAACAACAACAACAACAGCAACTGTGCTGGCCAGGAGCCGGCGTCGTCTGTGCCGGACACCTGTCTGCCGCGCATCATTAAGCCAAGGAAGCGCCGCAAAAAGGATCGCAAGCCGGCCAACGGCGTGCTGCTCAAAATGGAAACGGATTTGCAGCCCAAATTGCAGCAGCAACAGCAGGCGGCCAGCTATGGACAGCTGCTGCCACTGGTTAACGGCGGATCCAGGGGCAGTGGGATGCAGCAGCACGATCACAGTCATGGCGTATGCTTTTGTCGCGACTGCGATCCGTTGCGTTCACTGTGGGATTATCCGTTGCGCAGCGTGCAGCGCGGCGGCGGCGTCAGCAACTCGTCGAGCAACTCGTCCACGTCCACGCAATCGGACAACTCGTGCGCCAGCTCGATTCGCTCGCGAAGTGTGCCCAACAATTTTGATGAGACGGAGCAACATTTTGCGCCCATCACCGGCGACAGCTGTCGCGCCGAAATTGTGGGCGTCATTGGATCGCAGCGCAGCCACGCCCATTCCACGCCCACTCCAGCAACTACAGCGCCAGCAACTGCAGCTGCAGCTCCAGCTTTGTATCTGAGCGACTCCAGCGATTCGGGCTATGGCGACATCCTGAGCGGCATGAACCTGGCCAACGATCTGTTCGCCAGCTGCTTTGGCCCTGGCATCGCTGCCGACGCCAACGCGGCCGAGACGCTGCTCGACGCGAGCATCAACGAGATATCGCGCAAGCTGATCGAGACGTGCGCCGTTAACGACGTCGACGGCGGCGGCGGCGGCGGCGATTCGAGTTGCGCCGGCGACAGCGACAGCGGCTCAGCGTCGGCCAGCGACAGTGGCTTGGATAGCGCTGGCAGCTATAACTCAGAGGCGCTTGTCTTCAATTTTGAGCATTTGAATCTGATGGATGCGAGCTTTGGGACGCCCACAGCTCTGGATTGCAACAACAACAGCAACAACGACAAGCAACAATTTTACAACAATTGCTTCGACTTGGTTTGGCGCAACAACAACAGCAACAACAACAACAATTGCAACGACAGCAGCGCCACGCCCACAACTCTAATACTGGGCACAGTTGGAAAATTGAAGCCCGCATTTTCCACCATCTCGTGACGACGAAATCCAAACCAAAATGAAGCCCACGCAATTTTGTAGTTAATTGCCAAACCCTTTTCTTATTTTTTTTTTTCATGTGTGGGCGTGTGCGTTGCATAACCAAAAACCGTTAACCCACAAATTAAGCGAATTGTCAGCTGAAGAGAAATTCAATGGCAAAAGAAATGAAGAAAAAAAAAAAGAGCACGAGACATTGAAATTAATGCGCCATGGGCGCAACAGCAATTGAGAGAAGACGCCTGCTCTGCAGACTTTGTAGATCTGTATGTGTGTATGTGTATATATATATGTGTGTATATGTATGTGTGTGTATGTACAGGCTACAGCTTTCACTTTCGCTGCGGCGAAGTCGCTTTGTTTTTGCCCAGACAAGCGGCGAGATTCAAACACAAAAACAAAAACAACGACGAAAAGTCGTATGCAGATTTTTAAACGCAAAAGTAATAGAAATCGTGACTAGACAAGAGGCCCAGCTAAAATTGTGGATGCGAATACCCACACAACCCTATATATATATATATATATATATATATATATATATATATATATGTAAATTGCTATAAATACAACTTATATATATATTTGTACTTTTATATCAAGAGCGATGACGCATTTGTAACATTTGTAAAAATTGGTTTAGTTTATTTATTTTTTTTGTTATTTGTGCATTAACGTTTTGTATTTGAGTAGCTTTGAGCTTAGTTTTCCCCATAAGTTTTGAATAGTTGATAATGCTATATTTAGTTGGACAGCAAAGCAAATAATGGGTCAAGAGAAGTTTAGCACTGCGAAATATTGGTCTATATTTCATATATATATATATATATTATCATATATTTCTCTGGGCGCAAATTTATTTCACTTTCTTCTCAAAACTATTTTTTTTTTGCTGACCTTAATTATTTGTCTTGCTGAACTAATAATTTGTTTGTAGTTCCTAATTAACACTTGGTTCGTTTTATTTTTTTAAACAAAATTTGGGTTTATCGTTTTCGGTTGGGTTTTAGGTAACAGTTAGTTTTTAGAGCGCTACGAAGTGAACTTTTTTAGTTATTTAAGTTTATTTATGTTATTCTGTTAAGCTAAATGCTGTTGAGACAAATCACATTTCAAGATACGCAATGATCTCTCGAATTGAGTTAAGATCATAATAGAATATGTTTTCGATATCTAGATATACACTTATATAGATGGCTTTTTTCGTTTCATTCCATAAGGAGATCAGAAAATGATTTAAATTTCGGTTTTCCTTTAGTTAACTCGATTTGCTTGGTTGGGCTAATGCATAAATCGAATTCCCAGCTACTTTGTGTTTTTACTATTTATATATATATATAATCATTCAAATACTACTCATGGGTTTTTGGTCTTATCCGAATCACTCGAACATATTCTTTAATTTCAATTAGTTTGCTTAGATTCATTAGCTTTTTTCCAAATGATTCGAATAGTGTTTAGTTTTTGGTATTTAAAATGCATTTGCAATTATTCAAGCTATTCGAATCATTCGAGTGCATTCCTGCACAAGTTTACATTCATTCGAGATCTGTTCATGTCTTTAAGTACTTATGGTTGATTTTCTATTCGAATCATTCGAATGCATTCATAACAATATGCCGGGACTTAAGCTTGATATTTATTGTATTCACTTCGACTGAACTCTGGCACTCATATATATTTCGCTCGCTTCGATTGATTTCGATGCAGCATTTAGTTTTATTTTTTGGGTCAGCTTATAGTTTGCGGCTGTTGGCTGAAGGTTAAGGTCGCCGCTTATTAATTTGTAAGAAACCTTTTTCTAATTATGCCAAGCTCTGATCATTGAGCATAAAATCTAAGACAACAGCAGTAGCAGAAGCCCTAGTTACCTGCTTATTTAGCAGTTGGCGCCGAGTAAAAGTTTTCGCCTTTTTTAATTAAAAGAAACTCACGAGCGCGCAAAGAAATTGCATTTGCTGGTCTCAAGTTTTTCACAGTGGCTGCTGCTGCTGCTGCTGCTACTGCTACTGGCATGATGGAAAAATGTCACAGTTTTCCACGATCGAGTCGAGTCGAGTTCCGGCCAATGGTGGGGCCGCCCAGTATGGAGCCGGCTGCTTTTGTTACCATTCCCCACATAAACTAATTTATTTAATTAAGATTTTCACTAGTTTGTAATTGTAATTGTCATTGTACATGTATTTCTTTCAATATGTGTTATTGCACAAATAACAAAACGGAGGCGCGTTTTAATATCACACACATATACTTCACATAATTCTCATTCCATTTAGCTTTAAGTATCTCCATTAAGTTTTATTCTTGTTTCGCGCACAATACCGCAATTATTATTTATTTTGATTAAGCGTGAACGAGAGCTCAATAAAATACATAAATAAACGAATGAAAAAGAAAAAAAATAAACCAACCGATTGTTTGGAAATGAAAAAGAAAAACCTGATTACTGTTTTGATAGCCCCGAAAAGTGTGTGTTTCCCTGGGCCGCAAGATTTCTATTGGGGCACGTTCGAGCCGATGTCGACTGTTTTCAAATAAACAAATCAACAAATAAACAATCAACCAGAGGGGAGACAGGCAAATAAACATACACTACTGAACATTGGAGCACTGATCTTGGGACCGTGGCTGCACTCGAGAGTGAACTTTCCAAGCATTAGCCCAACGAATTATTATTATTATTTTTATACTCTAGCAAGAGGGCATTATGATTTTGACGTGAAATGTGTAACATTAGCTTCTTGTGTGAAAAAGTTTTTTGTTTTTCAAGTTATCTTATCCTAAATTGGCATTTTTACTTTTACTATGCTCCTCATATATATGCTTAATCCTATCAACATCGGACAAGTACTCCATATAGCTGCCATAGCAATGATCATTCGAAAAGTAGGTTCTTGTATGAAAAACTTGTTTGTTCATCAAGATATCTTAACCAAACTCGACATTTATTGATTTTACTATACGCCCTATATATATGCTAAATCCTATCAATATCAGACTAATCTATCATATAGCTGACATAGGAACGATCGATTAAAAAAAGTTATATGAACAACGTTTTGTTTATTCAAGATACTAAACTTCTTCTTAGATAATTTCAAAGCAATTATGAGTATTATAATTATGGTAAGGGTATTAAAATTTGCGGCATGCCAAAGCCCGCCCTTCTTTCTCGTCATTTCTAGTTTTAGTTATACAGCCAGCCAAACTTTGAACCAGCTTTTGTCGTAGCCTGGCTGAGATTGTTTACCTTTCACCTGGTGTCGCAGCGGCTTCCTCTTTAATTGAAAGAGAGCGGCTCGTATTGAAAATGTTCGCAGAGATCCGCTGTATTAACCGTAACTGGCAAATTAATTTCTTTTTGTTCGCCACAAATTGCCGGTCATTTGGCTAATTAATGTCTATATTTTAGGGTCTCGTCGTCGTCATCATCTTCTTTAGCTATTCATTTTGCCACAATGACTTCTGACCAGCGCACAAGGTGGCTGACTCCTAAAGAGCCCGCTTATATTCTAAGTCGACTCTGTCCACAACTTGTCTACCACTTTCCTCCCTCACCCCCCCTCTCTCTCTCTCTCTCACCGGCTATCGTCCAACCGTTTGAGTGGGTCAGTGGATAATTGGGTCATTTGCAACACTGTTTGCGCCATCACGCCGGCAACTGTTCGGACCCCAACACTGGCTAATGTGCTTGGCTACGTCAATAAGTGCGTCGTCGTCGTCGTCGTTGTCTTCTTCTCCAGGTCGTGTTCTTCTCTCTGCTTCTCGCCGGTCAACGGAGCATTCCATAGTTGGAGCGTCGTCTGCTTGTTTTTCTTGCAAGCCTCTACAATTTAATTGTTACTAAATGCCCTTTTCTGCGGAATACATTAACATTTTTATCACGTTTGCCTCGCTCCCAATTACGTATAAACACAATTTATACATGCTTTTGCATTGTGATTCAAGACCCTTTAAAACTTATTGATATCAACAACTTCTTGAATGCCCTTTTTGGATATTATAATTTTATCTCGAAGTTATAAAGTTATCTAGGATATCTCAAATGATAATACTTCTTGATTGAGTCAATTGTTCAATGCCACGATTGACTTATTTTTCTCAATAGTTTTGCTCACAAATTAAATTGAAAATAATAGCGCCTGTTAGTGTATTAACGGTTTGGCTTTGGTTTATTTCTCTAGAGTTTTCTCTGCTCGGCGATTTTGTCGCTTCACCTTGTTTTGCGATCGCGATTTTTCCATTCGTCTGGCATTTTTCGTCTTGCCGCATTTTCAATTTCTTGCCTCATTTGATTGATACACGGATGGATTTTCCAATGAAATTGAAAGCCTTTGCCCAGCTGCACCAGGCCAAGCCAAGCCAGGCCGGGCCGGGCCGTTGGCCCAGTTGCGGGACTTCAAAAACAAAATAGAAAAAAAAAGGCCAAATGTCTACGAAAAAGGTTACGCAAAATGTCAAACAGTTAAGAATCTAACGGCCACAAATGTCATTATTACATTTATATTTTCCACCTTTTAATGTCGTCTGCTTGTTTTGTCTCTTGCCTAGTCTTCTTCTTCTTCTGCTTCTGCTACGTTTTCAGATTTTCACAGACAAACTCAGCCGCAGATTTACCTGCGCGCAGCAATACCTTTGGTAGTTTAACTGCCCTACGTGAGACGCGGCAAAAAGCTTCAGGTAGATTTATGTGTGTTGGTTAAATATCTGTCTGTCTTTAGCTTTAATTTTTCTTTAGATCGTAGTTCGCAGCATCTGCTAACCAGGTCATAAACGTATCGTATTATTGCGCAAGAATGGGCTCTTTGATTGGGAAACTAATATCAGAGTGAGACGGGAAAAAGAATCAATTAACAGCAACAAATTATTTAAAAATAAATAAAATTAAAAAGATGAGTCTGATGTTTTTAAGTAGAAGAAAAACACGGTTAAGAACTTTGCAATCCAAATCCGTTTTTTATAGAACTCGAAATACTATGAAAATTCATAAATGTTTAGCGTGTTCCAATAATATGATCTTTACAAGTCAAAAATGGTATAAAATTGCAAAATCGGACATTATTTGACGGAAATATTCTGTCGTTTTGGAACGTCATATCTCCGCGCGGAGTTATGTCGTTTTGGAACGTCATATCTCCGCGCGGAGTTATGTCGTTTTGGAACGTCATATCTCCGCGTGGAGTTATGTCGTTTTGGAATGTCATATCTCCAGGAAAAAGTTTCGATTTTCGCACCGACCTCGATTTTGAAAAAAATCGTGATGAAGGTCATATCTCCGCGGTGAGTTATGTCGTTTTGGAACGTCATATCTCCGCGCGGAGCTATGTCGTTTTGGAACGTCATATCTCCAGGAAAAAGTTTCGATTTTCGCACCGACCTCGATTTTGAAAAAAATCGTGATGAA